ACGTACTTCACAAAAAATCTTCGACTTGTAACTACCGGACGTAAAGCACAGTACTTGTGGTATATCTTCATTCGGTCTGGACTTGAAATCACAAAACATCTAGGAGTATGAGTTTTAGAATCGGGAATTCTTATATAATAATTGAATCTTTATCTTCTATATCTATATCATCGATCGTTATCTTTAGTAGCTCATCTCTTCTCAAAGCCCCACACACTCCAATTATTAAAATGTCCAAAATTAGTTAAATCTATCGATTTGTATTAATAATTTGGTTTACCTTTTCTAGCAGAAATCTGTTATCAGGTGCTTCTTGGAAAAATCTATCTTTCGTTAGAATTTTGGACTTTTTCGGTCGGTATCCAACTGAATTGCTTTTCAAATATGGTATTAGTTTTGGAAATTTTCTGGTATTTACATTTTTTTTTGGCATACTGTGTTCTTTTTAACATGGAATATACTGACCATAACGTCAAAGGTTTAATTTTATTAATTTTATGTTCGAAATATGTCAGTAATACCGCTTCGCTTTTAATTTTCTTCGAATTACACCACCATTCGTTATAGGTAATCTCATACTGTCTCGACGATTTTTTTGGGATTAATTGTGAAACAGCACATTGTGCCGCTTCCAATACTTCCCCTGGTAAACGCTCGTTTTCACTTTCCGAGCTAGTTTGGAATTAAACACACTTAGAATATGTATTACAATATATATACAGGGTGTTTCAGTTTGATATGTCACAAACACGTGAGCATATTTTAGGAATAAAAATAAGAATAAAAGTCTGGTAAACTTTTGTTCTAACTTCCTTCGTTATGAAGATACAGGGGGTTGAATTTTTTCTATAAATTAAAATTTTCTTTCATAACTTTTAAACGGATTTAAATTGGATATTCATAGAAGTCTGTTTTTCGACGACTGTGTTAACATGCGACAATGCTTCTGAATTCAGTATGCCGTGAAAACAAAATCCAATGTATTATGTAGTTTTGAATGTGACAGTTAATGTTTATGATAAATAGCGTTTATGCAGTTTATGTATATGTGGTTTTTCAATAATGGCGCAGGTTGCATTCACAAATGAAGAGTATGCAGATATGCATTTGATGTATGGTGCAGCCTGGGGTAATGCTGTTGAAGCTAGACGATTGTACGCAGAAAACTTTCCTGGGAGAAGAATTCCTGACCGAAGGGTATTTCAGGCAGTTGACGCGCGTTTAAGGGAAAGAGGAATTCGTATAGGGGCTATTGAGAGACCGCGACCCCGACAACCAAATTTTGAAGATCAGATTCTTCAAATGGTGGAAAGGGAACCAACGACAAGCACCAGAAAAATTAGCTCTGAACTGGGCGTAAGTCATACAACGGTCTGGCGCACAATTCGTAATCAACAGCTGTATCCATTTCACTTTCAAAAGGTGCAAGCGTTGACTCCAGCAGATTATCCACCTCGACAACAATTTTGTCGCTGGCTGCTGAACCGTTGTGCAGAAGAGCCTAACTTTGTAGCACACATATTATTTACTGATGAAGCCAGTTTTGCAAGAGATGGCATAATGAACTCACACAACATGCATTACTGGGCTGACGAGAACCCTAATTGGACTGTCGCTGGTACGCATCAACAGCAGTTCTCGCTAAATATCTGGTGTGGTATTATTGGCGATATTTTAATCGGGCCACATGTTTTGCCAAACCGTTTAACCGGCCAAGCCTATAGGCATTTTTTAGAGGAAATCCTACCAGGATTGTTGGAAGAGGTTCCACTTGCAACAAGAGTATTGCTCTGGTTTATGCAGGACGGGGCACCTGCCCACTTCAGTTTAGCTGCCAGGAATTATTTGCAGAACACCTATCCAAATAGGTGGATAGCTCGAGGGGGTCATGTAGCTTGGCCAGCAAGGTCGCCTGACCTGAACCCCCTTGACTTCTTTTTGTGGGGTCACTTAAAAAGTTTGGTATACGAAACAGAGGTTCAAAGTATTGAAGATCTACAGCTTCGCATACAAAATAGTTGTAGAGCAATTTTAAATACCCCAGGGATTTTCGAACGAGTTCGGAGATCGTTATTACGTCGAGCTGAAGCGTGCATCCTAGTTCAAGGACGGCACTTCGAACAATTATTGTAAATTTTTATTAGATAGGAGTCTAATATTTAATAATAATAAATTATATTGAAACAAGTTTTGATTTTATCTGACATGAAGTTTTCTTATAATAATTTTGATCATATGTATATTATCTTAATTAAATAAAAAGGACAAATAATGTGTTAAGTACTACTACATACTTCTTCTTAAGATTATGGCAATAGGATACATAAATTATTACTGCGCCAGAAATTTTCAAAATTAAGCAAAATATCATATTACTTATTGTAGTTAATATGTTCAATAGCAGTTAACAATCGAATAGCACAATTTTGCTCCACATAAACATTTCAATTTGTGACTAAACTATGAGAGACACGAAGAAAATGAAAGAGACCATTTTTATTGGAAATGAATTGTAAAATTATGAAATGATCACTTTTTTTAATTTAACCATTGGCGTCACATATTTATTTTGCCCAAAGTGACAGACTCACCCTGTATCTACGCCACTACTTAATTTTAAAGAGCCATATTTTGGCAGCAAATGCAATATCCTCGGCTTACACAGTACTCCAAATTTGATAACAATATCTTAATCTGTTTAAAAGTTATGAAAGAAAATTTTAATTTATAGAAAAAATTCAACCCCCTGTATCTTCATAACGAAGGAAGATAGAACAAAAGTTTACCAGACTTTTATTATTATTTTTATTCCCAAAATATGCTCACGTGTTTGTGACATATCAAACTGAAACGCCCTGTATATATATTGTGACATGTGACACTACTTTTTCAAGTAACTAATTTTTATCGTTTATTGCTATCGTTATGACAGTCGCCACGCCTAAACCGTCTTGCTTGTCTTATTTTATTGCAGTTTTCGAAAAAATATTATATCTCGAACGCGAAATGCTTTTGCGTTCTCGAATGGACATTTTGATTCTCTAAGCTCGGCAAAATAACTTCACAAAAGAACCATATCGCGTTCTAGATACAAGACCGAGGAAGTTAATTTTCCCGTACCGTTTTTTAAAGTATATTTTATACACTAAATACTCATAAAAACACGCAGGCAAAGCAACTAACATCAAAAATGCATTATTTAGTAAATATAAGTTTTATCATTGTTATTTACTTATACAATGGTTTTATTGAACGTATTCTACATATTAGACGTTGATTATAACTATTTGTTTATATTTATAGTTATGTTGCAGTTTGCACAACTATTAAACATTGGCTGAACTTTACTCACAAACTCTGCGACATTATTGCTGTTAATTATTTATTCGATAGTATTACTAATATTAGCAAATTTCTCTTTGTCTCTCCTTCATCTAAATATTTCATCTATGTCTAGTTTGTTCGTAAAAGATTTCTCTACATATCCTTCAACAACGTTTGAAGATCTGCCATGTCTCTTTAGTGCAATTAAATCTGCCAGTATTAACCAAAATGGTCGCAGAGGAAAATTTTACGACAATTTGAGGCGTTCTACCAAACTGATGTATTCCTACTAGTTGCCTGACCAACTTTCTCTTTTAAACAAAAAGCGGCAACTTTCCAAATTTTCTGGGCGGTGTGCAACATATTTGGCAAGTAAGTTTGGTATATCACAAATGATCTCGGTTTTGTCGTTTTATTACGCTGTATTTTAATCAACAAATTTAATTGATACAGTTTATCACGGCAACTTGCACGGTAACACCAAATGCCTATTAAACTAACCTAAAAAGGAAAAATTAATATCTAGAAATTTCAAAAATTTATCTTCTAAACGTTCCTTATTTATTAAGTACATATTATCTGGTGCTTGAGCAATAAACGTTTCAAGTTGTTTATTTGACAAAACTTTGGATTTCTTTAGTTTATTATAGTTGTCACCTTGACGTTTCAGGAATACACGTAATTTCAAATATTTTGATATATCAGTGTCTTCCTTTGTATAACAGACGCCTGCAACTTTGTAGATAAATTGGAAATTTATACAATCATAACATTTTCGGATCGGGAGGGCGCATTTTTTTCAAGACAATAAGTCTTGAAACGTTTGTACGCGAATTCGTAGTTTTCCCTAGATTTATTAGGTAATAAATTTAGGCCCGGTACTTTAAGTCTCGGCCTTGATTAGCGATTAGACTGTGAATAAACAATTATAAAATAAATCTGTATAAACAGTCTAATCATGTGCTTACTTAACCAAGACTCAAAGTACCGGACCTTACAGTTACATTTTTTGCAGCTGCTACTAACTCTGGTGGTGGTCCCAAATACCTGAACATCATCACCACTGTCCTTTTTAAATATGTTAAATATATTTTAGCACTTATAGGTATTAAAATGAATTTGACTTTTATCACAACAATGTATAAACAATGATTTTCTAGGAAACGATTTCATATGCAATTATAATATTGTAATGAAGAAATGTTAGGCAAGCATTATTAAAAATTTCTTAGTTTATATCAATTAATTGATATCGTTTGTGATTTCAGAAAAAAACACTATATTACCTCTGGCGACTTTTTAAACAGAAACCCTACGCCTACTAGTTTTCTTTAAATTTTATGAATTTTGAGTGGCTGATCAATTTTAAATGAAAAGCCGTTGTAGTAAAATTGTCATAAAATTACTGGGTTGTAAGTAAATGGCGTGAAACGCATTTTGTGCACGTACATAAGATTACACAAAATTTTGGTTTGTGTAATGAAAAATGTTGTTTTTCAATCATACATTTATAACATATACTTTTTTTTATTAATTTTTAAATATTATATTTATTCAATTCTAGCAGATTAAATAATTTTTATTAGATTAGTTGATTTTAATAATTTTGTTTATTGGGGGTAAGGGAATTATTTAGTTTTCAGTGTAACTCATATAATTTTCTGTTCTATTTACAGAGTGCAAGATAAATGGGCAAATTGCCTCGGATGATCGAGACGTGATATCTGATGATCCCTGCCTGAAATGTCGATGTAGTGATGGAAAGATGATTTGTGCGAAAAAATCATGTCCTGTGCTCCAATGCATTCCTGAGCGACAGTACCACTCTCCTGGAGAGTGCTGTCCACGATGTAAGGGCACCAGAGCCCTAATAGAGTTAAAGAATAGGTGTACTCTGCAAGCATTCGTACTTAGGGAAGGAACTTCCATCAACTTAGATAAATGTACTAATTGTACGTGTCAGAATGAAACGTCAGTTTGTACTAGGGCGTCTTGTCCGATCTTGGATTGCGCACCAGAGTTACAAAAACCGGTTCCGGGCAGTTGCTGCAAGAAGTGCATTATGCCAGAAGAGGTTCGAACTCAATGTTTTCATGCAGGGAAATTGTATGAGGCAAGTAGAAAACATTTCCGTTACTTCTAAATTCGTTATAAAGGATATATTGTCCCAAACTCACATATCTATTTAAAACTAAAATGTTTCTATTTGAATTTTAAAAGAAGCATTAATTTTTATGTTGATAAATATACAGAATATGGTAGATGGTGTGCAACCGTATATTTAACTGAAATGTAAAAATGGTTGCATAAGCGACTACTGATTTTACAGATAATCCAAATATGCAGAATAATGGAGCAGTTCTTTACTTTTGAACATAATAATTATCACGAGCTAACTGATAAAGAATTTTTTATTTTCAATTGCTTGTAACAACAAGTGTAAGTGTACCAAAATTAATAAACAGTAAACAATATTTTTTTGGGTTGTTATTATGCTTTTATAAGCTATGCCACCAAATAAGTTAAAGGCTGCTCATAAATTTTGAGTTCTGTAGGTCACTAGGATCTAGGAGGCATCGCAATCGACACTCAGATTTGATCAATTACACGTGTATCATTATTGAATATTAACATTTATTACCTACTTTTATTACCCTATTATAATATGAGTAATTTAATTTTCTGTTTGTGGTACCTGTCCTTAGACTTCACCTGGACTTTACCACTAAAGCTGTGGGCAGGAAAAATTTAAATTTTTTTACATTATTGATTTTCTCAGTAGACTTTAATTTCAAATTATGGTCTTATACATTTTCCGCGAAATAAATTTTGTAGTATTTTATATCTTTCTTATGGACAAATACCTATCTATATTAGTACATGTATACGTGAGAACGTGAGGAAGAAATTCTAGAAAAATCGAAATTGATCCAACAGTAAGTACTAGATCTATAGCAAATGAGGCTGCAGTGGTCCACATTGAAGTATATTATTTTATCCATACCATTATTATTACAAAGTGTACAAACTTCAAGATTATCTCACAAAAGTTGATATTTGTGTGTGGCTTCGTTTGCAATATAAAAATTTTACAAAATTTATTTTAGACCTAATCTTTATAAGAAATGAAATGATCCAATTTCTATAACTTCCAAGAAAAGAAAAAGAAAACATTTCACTGTACGATGAATATACGTATTTTCAGGAGACACGAAATTATTTAGATTTTATCCAAAATACGTTACCTGAATTACTTGAAGATGTTCCTTTGCGTGTATGCAAGACAGACAATATGATCTATTGACGATGAAGCTCGTATTAAGAAATGTTTGGGAATATTTAAATAATATATTTCCGGATACGTGGTTAGGGCGCAATGGACCAATTTCTAGACCTGCACACTGCCGTAATATAAATTCTTTTGATTTTTTCTCCGGGGTTATTTGAAAAACTTATTTGTCGCAATGGAGAAGTGAATAACGTTGGAGAACTTAAAAGAAATAGAATAGAAAACAAAAGTTATTCGTGAACCAAGAGATTTCATTTTCGCCACGTGTTGTCACTAATGGTTATGAGACTGTGTGTGCATTAAATGGGTGGCAGCAACTTTGAACAATTTTATAAACTTACTACGGCCATATTGGCAACCAGAGCTAGGCTAAACCTTTTTTTTTGGGGGGGATTCGTATCATCGATACCAATTTACTTGTCACAATCGATTCTTTGACTCGTTCACAATTCAGAATCCACTGCGGTAGCCTCGGAGTTGATAAATCCGCATTCAATTCCGTTCTCCGATTGAAACGAAAAACCTGATTCTGTGATATAATTAAGTACTTCAAGTACGCAAACATTTTGTCTAATTCCTAGCGACTAGCATACTAGTTTGTTGTAGATACCATTTGGAGAATAATCCATTCCAAATAGATCCATATTCGTACCAAAATTAATGAAGTTTTAGTAGAATCATTTCATGCCTCGATTTACGGTTTGCCGCAAATTTCTGTAAGTTTTCCTCCCAACAACGACTGCTGTTAGAAAATATATAGTGAGCATGGTCTTTAATATGTTCTGTTGATATTCTTGGTTTGCTTCCATTCTATACGATAATAATTGCAGAGTTTAGAGGTGATTCACAGATCTTGTCCATCATCGACCAGTAACGTTTTTCAGCATTTGACTGATTACCTATACCTAGTACTTTGTCACCATCTAAGTATATGGTAACCATGGAAAACTATCTCGATAAGAAGTTAGGTCATGTGTCCTTTTCAGTAGATCATCTAAAAACTGCACTGTTGCAAACGTACAGCACAGCTAATCGCTCGTTGCATCTTTTAAGCTTGAGGTGAAAGAAGACTGTAGTGGTCAGCTACTACGATGAATTCTAGCAGCTTCCCCACAGCCCATAAAACATTCTCTGTAGATTACAAAAAAGTGTGGTTCTTGTCTAGTAAGAGAACGACTGGGATAGGCTAGGACTTTGTAATCATCGAGAGGCGATTGGCATATTATACATTCTTTAAGAAGTCTGAATGATTTGCTGCATCTTTTTGTACATATAAATGTCATATTTGGCATTTTTACGAAGCAGTGCTCTTATCGGAACTGTAATTTATAAGACATCGAGTACAAAACGTCTATACCAAGAAAATATACTAATACCCGCAGAATGTTACCTACAGATGAAGGCGGTGATACTTCCAAGAAGGTCTTGGAATATTAGAATTCACATTTGAGTTATTGCGATTAGCGACGTAGCCCAAATACTTCATCTGCGAGTGGCGAAATTGACACTTGCCACTGCTTACAGTTTCACGCAGTTTACGAAAGACCTCTTGAAGGATGGACAAAAGTCTTCTAAATAGGCGAATAATTGAGGTTCAAAATACTGACCTAGGTCATTATTAATAAAACGCTGCCAGTTTACCGGAGCAAAATGTAACTCAAATTATTTCCTTATATAGGAAGTATCGTTTATTTGGGACAGAGGTGATAAGTGTTGTGGCTCAAAGTGCAGGGCGCTGAATTCATAGATTCCAAATAGTGCATGACCTAATTTGGAAATGATTTCTCGTTGAGCTATCACTGAAATTCTCTACTCTTTTCTCCATATACGTATTTATTGTTAAATATTTTGCCCCGTGCAAAACTAAAATTAGAAACGAATTTTCTATTATGAGATTAAAACTTTAACTACAGGTTAGAAGAGAACTAACGTAGTACGCGTGATGTTTCTGTTATTTATTTTCATTTCCTACGAGCATCAAAATAATTTGTTTTCATAAATTTAGTTCACAAGTATAGAAAGAATTGAATTAATTCATCATCTACTGAATACAGTCATCGTAGCACCAATATAGCAGTATTGTAAGTAAAAAGTGAACGTTGTCATGCTACAAATTCGATCCAATAGTCACTTCCTTTGTATACATATTGTTTTTAAGAACATTCAAAACTCAATACGAATTCGTAGTCAGTGTCGCCATTTAATTAATATTTATTTTTTTACAGGTAGCAAAATTCTCAAATAAACTGAGACAATACTAAAATATGTCACAAATAAATAATTTCGATCAATATTATTTCAGTATAGAAACAAGATCAGCATCTTTTATAAACATAAATAAATTGGAAAATTGTGGAGAATATGATTATAATTAAATAATGATATGATTGTTTGCTTTTCTAATCTGATCGTCCTTTTTGCATATTTCTTGCAGAGTTGTAGTAAAAAATAATACTCCTATTTTAAAGATTGTAACTTCGTTTGCCCAATTAACTATGAAATTCTTTAAAACTTGTATGTACTTTTGTTTTTCGTGTAACATTTTATATAATATTAATTTCCTAGGTAGGATGGCCAACAGTGGAAACTCGATTCCTGCAAATCCTGTAAGTGCCAAAGAGGGATGCCTAGCTGCGCAATTACAAAATGCAACACAACTTGTACTGCGGGAACTCGACTAGTGCATTCTTCCGAGGAATGTTGCCCTAAATGTGTTGAAGGTACACTTTTTTGTTTTAATTCAAAATCTAATTATTTGTAAACCATAAATATAAAATTTGGCCCAAATTCGATACCCCAGAATTAATGTTGTAAGGTACCTGAAGCAAATACAACCCAGGAGGTGTTAAAGCCCACATTTAAACATTCGCGCTAAAATAATTTTATGGTACGTCACTGAGAAGTCTCATTTTTATAAAAATACGAATTATTTTTTATTTTTTATTTTTTATTTTTTTTTTAATCAAAGGAAAAATAGTCTCATTTATTTCTTTGTTATCGAAAGAGAAATTTTCATTTTTTTAAGAGAAGTTTGATTTACCTACTTTGCTTCAGAGAGTACTTAACTAAACTTGTTGAATATCCTTTTCACTTCCCCAAGTTTTAAAAGGCCCATGTTGATTATTTTATGTTTCTTTTTTTTCTAATTTAAGGATGTTTTTAAGGAGTCATTGTGAAGGAAAGTCGCGAAAAACTGAAGTTCACAAGTCTTATTATACCACGTTGGTTTAATAAGGCTCAAAGAAAGAGTTTTTAAAAAGTCCAATGTTTTTAAAAGGACTATTTGTTTAACTTTTGTGATAGGTAACTCAAATTAACAAATTTTGTACAAAACACGATTTTGTCTTTCTAAACAACAAAATATACTATTTATTGCATATTTAAGTTGTGGGCCTTATATGCCTCAAGTACCTTAATGTGTATATTGACGTTTTTAATAGCAAAAGTGTTAACACACAAGTCGTTTAGAGAGTTCATCATTCGTAAACTGAATATTGTGTTTGTAGTTGAGAATTGACGTGCCAATTTGTGTACCGGTATCATGAATATTTGTTAGTCTCAAAAATGTTACACCAGTAATGGACGCTAATTATTTTCAGGGTTTAGATTTAATTTTTCTCCGATAAATTATATTTCCTTGATTTACTATTTAAAAACCTTATTTTATCTGTAGAAAACAAACATATATAATTTATAAGGTTTTTATAAATAAATAGCCATGATATTGAATATAATTATAATTAATAAAAAGGTCAAGTAGCCATGTGAAACTTTGAAATTTTGTCTATAAATTAATTAAAATATTTCATATCTTTAATACTTTTTAACACAGCAACCTTTATTTACATAATAACAAGAGCAACGATCAAAACAACATAGATAAAGCAATAAATGGTAAATTTAAGTTTTATCACAAATGTTCGAATGTACTATTTAAACACTTCTGCACTCGTCCATAAATGCTATGAGTAGCAGTTTGAATCATGAATCATGTCGGGAGGTATTGAATTTATCACTCTTGAAATATTTATTTTTAATTCTTCCTCATTGTCGTATTGCCTTGTGTGTATAGCTGATACTTAAGATAACTATAAAAGAAAAGTTCATGATGGTCAAATCAGGACTTCTCGGCAGCCAAGTAACTAGACTACCAAGTAAGGGTATGCACTTCGAACATTTGTGATAAAATTTTAATTTACCATTGCTTTACCTAATATTTTGTTAGTTGCTTTTGTTATTGTTATGTCAAAAAGTATTAAAAATGAGAAATATCAAATATAAAATGTTTTACATGTTGTCTTGTTTTATTAAAATTATAATTATATTCAATATTTTGATTATTTATTTATGAAATCCCCATAAATTAAATATACTTCTTTGTAAAGAGAATTTCCCCTTTCTTCTAATGAGGCAAAAATTTGATTGCTCACGTAATTTAATATCAGACTACACATGTTTGTCCTAATATTTTCAAAAACAAGTGAAATACGACTGAAAAGATATATAGCATAAAATAGATTCTCCCCGAATAGGTATTTCCAGAACTATTCGGAATTTTCTAAATTTATAAACGAATTCGTAATCGCCATAAAATTCTGCATATTTCTGCCCATTTCTGTAACTGTTAAAATAAAAAAGATAGGACAATAAAACAGTTGTAATCCTGTACATATACAGGGTGTTTGTAAATAAGTGCGAAATATTTTAGGGGATGGTTGCCGAAGTTATTTTGTAAAAAAAAGTTCATATAAACGTAGATCGAAATATACTTCTACTCCGAGATACAGTGTTTAAATTTAAATTTTTTATTTATTTTTATTAAATATTTTAGAGTTTTAAATACTTATATGGACTTGAAATTTGAAAAACGCTTTGGAGGGATAAATGTGCATTTTTTGAGGTGATCCGAATATTTCTACTTCCACCAGTGGCGCTCGTGCGAGAATGGCACAACCTTTTTTAATAAAAAAAAAATGGTACCTACACCACAGACTTTTCCCGTTTTAATATTTTTTCAACATCAATTCTGAATGAAATTGACCCTTCATTTTTTTTCGTAGGATGCGCCGGTTTTGAGTAAAAAAAAATTAAATATATTTTTTTGCATGTTGTGTTGTGTAGTTTTAATTTCTATTGATACATTATCTAGTAGGTTGCTGTCAATATTTTTAAATAAAATACAACCATCAAATTTCGAATATCTTTAAAGCTCTTTGAAATAATTAACAAAAATAAATAAAAAATTAAAATTTAAACACTCTGAATCTTGGAAACGAAGGATGTTTCGACGTACGTTTATTTGAACTTTTTTTACAATATAACTTCGGCAACCCCCCCGTAAAATATTTCGCACTTATTTCTAAACACCCTGTATACAGGGTGTCCGCAAATTTCACCAACAACGTTTGGCTGCATATTCGCGACGATTAATAAATACGATCTACGAAAAAAGTTAAAAAATCACTTTTTGGTTTTTGAGTTACAGACACCTTCAGAGTTGTCAAAAATAAAGCTAATTTAATTAATAACTTCATAACCTTTTTACCGATAGCGTTAAAATTTGGCAGGTCTAATTGGACTATTGTGACGTATTATTTCTTATAGTTTTAGTCAAATCGATATACTGGGTGATAGTTTTCTCCGATTACCTCTCCCTTTTAGTGGTCAAAACTTTTTCAGTGGTCGTTTTTTTTTAAACGGGGAGCAACACTGAAAAGGTCGTTTTATTTAAAAAAAAAATACCTCTTGAGAAAATCGCCTGCAGAAAGCCATTCTTGAGCAAAAGGCATTATTTGCAGGTTTGTATGTTTCGGTTTGCGTAGCAGTGTCACGGATTTAAAACTTTCAGTTCAGTATGTAATGAAAACAAGATGTTAATTACTGTGGCTATCAGGTAATGTCATTATTGTCGTGTTTCTTTAGGATTCTCTTCACGCCACACATGCAAATTATGAAGTGTGCGTAGTGTATCAAGACAATTAAATGTATGTACAACTAATGTTCACAAAACTTAAAAAAAAAGCAACATCTTCGGCCATTTCATTTAACTCCTGCCCAAGAGCTTGAAAATTTAGATGCCAACGCACGTTTACAATTTTGCCGATGAGAATCCTAACGAAACACGACAATAATAAGATTACCTGATAGCCACAGCGATCAACATCTTGTTTTCATTGCCTATTGAACTCGATGCTTTAAATCCGTGACACTGCTACGCATACACATTTGCAAATAATGCCATTTTTCTCAAGAATGGCTTTCTCTAGGCTATTTTCACAAGTGACAAATTTCTTTTTAAATAAAACGATCTTTTCAATATTGCTGCCCGTTTAAAAAAAAACGATCACTGTAAAAGGTTTGACCGCTAAAAGGGAGAGGTAACCGAAGAAAACTATCACCCAGTATATCGATTTGACTAAAGCTTTAAGAAATAATACGCCATAATAGTCCAAATAAATGTGCCAAATTTTAACGCGATCGGCAAAAGGATTATGAAGTTATTAGTTAAATTAATTTTATTTTTGACAATTTTGAAGGCTTGTAACTCAAAAACCAAAAATTATTTATTTAACTTTTCGTAGATCGTATTTATTTATCGTCGTGAATATGCAGTCAAACGTTGTCGGTGAAATTTTCGGACACCCTGTATACGTGTGCGCGTGCGTGCGTGTGTGTGTGTTATGTGAGTGTGTGTGCGTGTATGTAAGAAAAGTTAAATACAGTCTGGAGTCATTAACAGCATATAGGTATCGATATTTTTCTGGAAAATCTTAAAATATATAATATACAACAGAGATGGAAAATGTAAAATTTTATACATATTGTTACAGAATTCCGCACAATTTCTTTAACGTAAGCGACTTTCTATTATTATAATAACAAACACTGATATATCGAAAATGCGATGCTCTAAACAAAATCTCTTAGTACATTTGACCTTTCATTTTTAGTTGAGGGAGCGTGCATGGTCTTTGGCGATCCTCATTACAAGTCTTTCGATGGGAAAATATTCAGCTTTAAAGGGGTTGGAAAGTACCAGTTAACAGCTGATTGTCAAAACAACACTTTTTCGGTGAAAGTGGCCAATGCAAATAAAGTTTCATCTACGTCGACAAAAAGAGTAGCTGTGCAATATGGTAACATCCGTATAAATCTACAGCAGAAGGGCAGAATTAAGTACAATGGTCAACGCATAAAAGCCCCTTATGAGGTAAAACATAAATTCCGTGTAGAAAAGATGCGTGATATTATCGAAATTAATCTTCAGAATGGTGTAAACTTGTTTTGGAATGGGAAAAGTTTCCTTGAAGTAACTGTCCCGGCTTCATTCAAAAATAAATTATGTGGACTATGTGGTAATTTTAATTCCAATGTTCAAGACGATCTGAAAACTAAAGGGGGACGAATTGTTACTGACAAGGAAATTCTTGGCTTTGGCACCTCTTGGTGTACCGGTAAACGAAGCGATTGTGCGAAAAAGCTAAAGTCGGCAAATAAGGCTACTTGTACAAACAGACATCGCACTGAAAAAAATCTTTGCAAATATTTCAGTAGCGAGCCATTTACAGCATGTGATTCTAAACTAAATTATAGTAAGTATTATAAGGCTTGCAAAATAGATATGTGCCACTGTCCAAACGGAAAATGTTACTGTGAAAGTCTATTGGCGTATGCAAGGGAATGTCAAAGATTAGGTGTTAAATTGCCTAATTGGCAGAAGCATAGTTATTGTGACGCCAATAGTTTGAGGCGGCCTAGTACTTCACATAAGTCGCATAACAAGCACAAACACAATGCTTTGCTTAGATATATACCAAAAAATTTAAACAAAACCAGAGGTTCAGTAGACCCTATTCCAATACACTAGATTTATAAACGTTTAGATAGCTAGTCATTGTCAGTATTTACCAGGACGCATGTAGAATAAATCGAAAACGTGTAAATATTGTTTAAAGTATTATTATATTGTAAATTTCTGTAATGATGTATCGCATGCTTAGTAAATTTGAATTTGTGTTTAAAATGCTGGCCATTTTAAATGCCACTTAAATATATAATGATCTCTTCACAAGAAGACTTGTGGGCTATGATAGTAGAAACAGTTTTTGTCTCTGAATACTTGGGCATTTGTAATTGTCTATTATGAATAAGAATAATTAACTTCTAAGAAGTTTATTCTTAATTATTTATGACTATAGATAATTACTTCATTATTTATAGAGATGCTGAAAGTAGAAATTTTTTGAATTGACAAAATCGATACATACTACTTACTGACTATAAAAAACTACTTATGACAAATATATAGTGAAGAAAATATGTAAAATTTTTTAGTTTTCCTTATTCTCTTGTATTTTATAACTTCACCCCTTTACCTTTTATATACAGGGTGTTTCGCATAAGAACCGACACAGAGGAGGGGCATGCGGTGATTTAACGCAACTTACCTTTATATTAAGCTGCTCCCCTGAAAAGTTATGGGCCTTGAACGTGGGGTTTCAAATTTCGAAAATAAAATCAATATCTCGGTATTTTTTTCAAAATTTTAGCGTTAAATCACCACATTTTGGGTTCCCCTACATGCCCTTGCTCTGTGTTGGTTCTTATGCGAAACGCCCTGTATTTTGTAGATTGTACTGCATACTTTTAGGTATTATTATTTATTGATTCTTGTTAAATATAAGATGCCATACATTTTTACAGTATATGTCGACTACCATTAATTTTTAATTTTAAGTGTAGCTTCTCCAAAATCTCAATATACTTGTTTAAAAAGTTGATACCTTCCAGTGAAAGGTATATATAGATAAGAAAACTATTGATTACGTTTTCCTTGATTTGCTGTGTAAAGTAACTAATGACATAGTCTTATTATATTTATGTAAATATTTTCTTATAATTAGGCTGTAATATGTAAATTAAGTGTGATAGAGGCACATTTAACATTGTATTTTTTTTTCTATAATTTCTTTACAATATGTACCAAAGACATTTATGTTTTTATTAAAAGGTCGAATATTAAATTGTTTGTTCAAACAATTATTTTTGTAAATACGTTTTAGTATATTAATTATGTGTATGAAGATCTCCATATAGAAATTAATAACATTAAAACATAGCAAAATTGTTCCTATAAGTGTAGAATTATATTTTAAAATGCATCTATTATTTATAAAAAAAAATCCCCTTAATATTGGATAAAGTTAGCCAATGCATTTGTAAGTATAGGTTTTTTTACGCAATGAACATATAGATTAAGTGTTTGTTTTATGTATAGTACCGTTTTAATGTAATTTTAAAATTAGTTTGAGTGCAGTTGTAATATTGATGTATTTATTAATTAAAATAAACACACATTGTGTGTTAATTAAAAGATTTAATGATGTGTTTTTAAACTTTTTATGTTTATTTATTTTTATATCTGTTTTAATCCAAGGATGATCTGTACTGTTGAAAATTGACAATATTATTAAATAAATATGTCCGAACGTATACACAGTTTTATTTTGCTTTCCTGTATATTAAACAAATAAAAATTATTAAAATATTCTTTATGGATGGAAGTATCAGAGATTGTTAGGGTGAAAGTAAAATGATTTAGCTAAACGTACCTCTATACATAGTTACTTTGATACTGTTTTAACATCCTGTTGCTAGAGGGCGAAGTTTGCATTTCTTTTTCAATAATATAATAATAATAATATTTCTACTCCTCATTCTAACTACGAGAATTAGCCCA